CTGGATGTTTCGAGCAGCCGAGGCTGTGCAGGGCAGCCCCGCTGCTCCCCATCCTCTGCCGTGCGTCATCCGGCTCCATCGGCCGTTTCGTGTGACCTTTCCGTGTAATTTCTAGTAATGAGACATCCAGTGAAGGTGTTCTCTCTGCTGAAGATGCCGCGTGACCATGGTCTGTGCTGATGGGACCAGAGGCGAGGGGGGGATGCAGCCGTGCTGTCAGTCCAGCTCCATCTCGGATATCTCATTATTTCACAGGATCAGAGAGATCAAAGTTACTCAACTGTGAAAACCACATCAACGGCCGTGACGGTCAATAACCTGAAGCCTGGCACACTCTATATTTTCCAAATCCGGACGTCTTCCTCCGCAGACTATGGGAGCTCCAGCCCCAGCATCGAGGTGGAGACGCTGGCAGAGCGTAAGTGTGGGCTGTGCTCATCGTCCCCCACAGATACAGCGCAGCACGGGGCTCCAGGCTGTCGTGGGGCGCTGCTGCCCCTGCCCTGGGTGCTCTGGGTTTCGTGGGGCAACGTCTGCTCCCCTGGTTCTGCCGCTCTGGATCTGGGAGCTGGTGCTTCCCAGGACTTGCTTTTAGTTGCGTTTCCCTGTTTGATCTGGGCAAGGTTGCTTGTGAGCCACTTGGCTGAATGAGATCGGCCAGCATCGGTGTTACCTGCGGGGGCTTTTCCGTTTCAGTTTCCATTCATAACCATTGTCCAGAAACTTCTCATTTTGCTGACTAAAAGAGGGCTGGGAGAGCTGTGGGGCTTCAGCTCCATCGCCCGCCCTGCTGGGAGTGGGAGCCCCACGATGGCCGGCTCAGCGCGGCTCTCGCAGATTGTGTTTAACAGGGCTTTAAATTGCATCCATTTGCCGCACAGAAGACATTTTCAGAATGAATTGAGGCCAATAAAAATTTTATATAGAATGTAGCTTCCTAATATACCTCTGCTTGCAAAAGCAGGAAGGGAAGGGATTAATATGATCAAGGAAAACTATTTGTAAGCTATAAATTTTAATACGTCGCTCTGATAAACAGGAGCCTTTCCTCAGCGCTGATTAACAAACCAGGAACGTGGTGGTGCTGGGGTCGCTCTGTCTGTGCCTGCAGCGCTGCCCTGCGCCTTGGTCTGGCTGCAGCAGCTTCTAAAACTGCACCAGAATGGGAATGGCTGTGGGGTGGTGATCAGCCGCCTGGGAATCATCCCACAGCCGTGCTGGAGGGCACTGGTGGCACTGGATGGAGCTGCCCTGGGGGGTTGCTCCACGCCTTGGGCCTTCCCCACACCTTGGCCTGCCCCACGCCTTGGGCCTGCCCTGGGGTGGTTGTTGACCCCCTTCCCTTCCCTCCGCAGTGACGGTGGCCTCCAGCGAGCAGAGCCCCGTCCTCATCATCGCGGTGGTGGCCATCGCGGGGCTGATGGTGCTGGTGTCCATGGTGATCGGCGTGATGGTGTGGAGGCGGTGAGCGAGGCCGGGGGTGTTCGGGGCAGGGGAGGG